AAGAAGCAAACTCACCCTCGACCTCACCGGCCGAAAAACAGCCGGGACCGCAAGGCAGCCGACGCACCCTGACTGGTTGTCCAAGATACCTTAAGCTACCCGGGCCTACCCCGAAGTTATTTCGATCACAGGACAATAGCTCCCAACAATGCCGCACGCTGTGGAATCATTTGCCGCAACCAAACTTGAACGTACTGCACATTCATGTTTCTCCAGCGCCTTTTCTGACATCCAAAATTGACGCCAAGTGTGCATTCTTCAGTCCCGGATGTGTACCGATCGCCCTTGCGCAGAAACAGTCCCCTCGATGCCCGGCGCGCTTGCCAACGCATGCGAGGATCGCCATACCCGACAGTGCAGTACGCAACAGAAGATGCTAGTCGACTGAAGCCGCTCCAGCCACCAACCTATGACACAAAAATTGCCTGACATGCTTTATGTCGGCAAAATCTGGGGTTCGACGGAAGCTCAGGTCTGATATTCATGTTATGCGCCAAGGTGCCACACCGCGGCTTGACCCGAACAAGCTCACCGTCCTCGCGCTTCACCAAAACCCCATCGCACCCGGAGCATGGAGTCGCAGCATGAATGATGCCAGACGATGTCTGAACCCAAATCTGCTCATCACATTCCGAGAGCCTATTGCCTGCTTTCACTAAGGAACCTTGCTTCTTGCCCGAATCCGACGATGAAGAAGATGATGAAGATTCTTCATCATCTTCTTCATCGTCGGATTCGGGCAAGAAGCAAGGTTCCTTAGTGAAAGCAGGCAATAGGCTCTCGGAATGTGATGAAATCCACTCCCGCAGAACTTGGTGGTTTCAAACACTCGGTGGCTTCGGCATTCTTTCGGAAGATAGTTATAGGGCCAGGGGTGCTCACGACCTTTCACTCAGCGCACGTTGATTGCGAAAAGAAGACTTTGCAGGCTCGGGGTTCATGATGCCCGCTCGTTGGACGCAGCATCCAAGTAGTTGGCTGACGCTGAGCCACGGTTGAGCCAAAGATTGGACCTAGGCTTAGGGCATCTTAGGGTTTAGGGATCCCTGTAAGGCTGACAGTGGCTGACTGCGCACCATCCAGCAATTAATCCACGCTAAAAGAAAAGTTAAAGGTTCAGGGATCGTTTTAGGGCTTCGGATTTCGCGATCTATTAGTATTAACATTATTATTGATACTATATGCAGCTCGAGCTTTGGGTTAGTTCGTATATGCGCCCAATGCAGTTGTTCAGACCGGGTGCTGCATAAACCTTATAGGCTTTAACTTTCGGTCTATATAGATACACATGTTTATTATATACATACAGACATGACATACATACATACATACATACATACATACAAACATACCTACTACATACATACATACATATATTGATTAATGTAAATGTATGTATGTATGCACGCATGTATGTATGTTTATAGATATGTGTATATGTATGCATGTACGCATGTTTTCATGCATGGATGTATGTATGTGTGCAGGAAATCGTTCAACCGCTAGAAAGAACACGTAAAGAGGTACTATTAAATTACGAGCAGCAGCCTTAACCATGGAAGAATCCGTGTGTAGCAGCAGCAGCAGCGGCATGAGTAGTAGGTGGTAGTTGAGGTAGCGGTGGTGGCAGTGGTTGTGGGCGGTGGTGGTGGTGGTGGTGGTGGTGGTGGTGGTGGTGGTGGTAGTGGTGGTGGTGGTGGTGGCGGTCGTGCCCCGGTTGCCACCTCCATCCCAGGACGGAGGCGGGGAACCGCATTACGATTTCCCTTTTCGGGCGCGAGCATGGCGGGTAGTGGTGGTGGTGGTGGAGGTGGTGGTGGTGGTGGCGGCGGCGGCGGTGGTGGTGGTGGTGGCGGCGACGGCAGCAGCAATAGAAGTAATCGCAAGGTAGCAGGGATAGCAGCAGCAGTAGCAGTTGGAGCAGCAGTAGCAGTAAGCAGTAATAGTAGTGGTAGCAGTAGCAGTAGCAGTAGCAGTAGCAGTAGCAGTAGCAGTAGCAGTAGCAGTAGCAGTAGCAGTAGCAGTAGCAGTAGTAGTAGTAGCAGTAGCAGTAGCAGTAGCAGTAGCAGTAGTAGTAGTAGTAGTAGTAGTAGTAGTAGTAGTAGTAATAGTAGTAGTAGTCGTCGTAGTAGTAGTAGTAGTTTTAATAGTAGTCAGGTGAAATAGCAGTCAATAGCAGTAGTAGCAGTAGCAGTAGCAGTAGCAGTAGCAGTAGCAGTAGTAGTAGTAGTAGTAGTAGTAGTAGTAGTAGTAGTAGTAGTAGTAGTAGCAGGAGTAGTCGTAGCAGTAAGTAACAGTAGCTAACAGTAGCAGAAAAAATAAAAGGCACCAGCAGCGGCACGGGCACTCGTAGTCGTAGTCGTAGTGGTATTATTGCTACTCCAAAAATTGTTGTTTGTTGAAGCACCAACAGCCCCAATGCCGATCCTGCTTTTACTTGATGTGTCTGCAAGATGCAGCTCCGTAATTTATGTTGGGAACTGACTCGGATGGGGTTTCGATTCGACTAAGCACTCGATGGCCAAATGTTTTGCCGGCGCTCACACCTGATCTCAGAAGTTTGCTGGGAACGATCACAGCTGATCTCTCAAATCTTGCTTGGAACCAGTGATTATCATGGCCATATCAAAACGTCGTCTCGAAACGACGAAAGAGGAACCATGTCAAGATCCATCAGACTGAGGCCGTCTTCACCTGTGGGGGGCACAGACTTTGTTAGTGGCTTCAGATTCATTGATTAAACAACAGATAAGTCAAGTTTATCAAAACCGGCTCCGAAAACGAACCTTAAACCAAAACAACATGACTCTACACCCGGAACCCCAAAATGGACCACATCGTGGCCTCGGCGAGTGCATCATCGAAGCCGTTGTCAATCGCCTCGCGTCTAGTTCTGTACACTGAGCCGCTCTCCACGTGCTTGTACTCCTTGTAGAAGGTGCCGTCGCAGTGGCGCTTTTTCTTGATGATCTGATCATCACAAAGATCTCTGTTTAAGGTTTCGGGTTTGGGTTTAAGGTCTATAAAGGTTAAAGGATTAAGGGTCATGACTCGCTAATACCCTACAAAACAATTTGAGTTTGGCAGTTTGAAACCAATGACGCACTTTGCCAATGGTTCAGGATTGACTAAGTAAAGATCGGTTCAATGTAGTGGTTTAGGGCAGGGTTTAGGCTTATATAGTTGAGGTTAATGTTTTTTTACAAATCTCTCGGCCTCCCAACCCGGAAGCGAAGCATCAATCGACTTGAACGGCGACTTCTTGGGATTCTCCCTTTTCTCCGAATCTGAGCCTTGCTTCAGGCCCTTCTTCGCCCCGGCCTTCGCACCCGCCTTCAACTTGTTGACTCCCTTGTCCTTCTTGCCGGTCTTGTCAGACTTAGGCTCTGCCTCATCCGTCTTTGCGTCAGCGGACTCGGCAGCCTCGACTGTGGCCTTAGACTCATCCAAATTGGCAGCCTCAGGCTCAGCCGCCAAGTCGCCCTTCGGAAGGGCACCACACGCAGCAGGACGCTTGTAGCTTTTCGCCTGCTTGGCTTTAGCCTTTATCTTGGGCTCCTTTTTCGGTACCGGCTTCCTCTCACCCTCCGGGTCCGGCTCCAGATCAGACTCGAACATCATTGAAGTCTGACTCTCGAAGCGCTTCACCGTTGACGGCGGGGACTCGCTCTTGACGGGCTTCACCACTGAGGTTGACGGCGGGGGGGACTCGCTCTTGACGGGCTTCACCGCCTCAGCCTGTTTCGGGTTTAGGGTTTGGGGGTTTCGGGGCTAAGGGGCTTCACCGCAGCCGCAGCCTCCTTCTTGACGGGTGTCACCGCCGCCGCGGGCTTCACCTCCTCAGCCTGTTTCGGGTTTAGGGTTTGGGGTTTTCGGGGCTAAGGGGCTTCACCGCAGCCACAGCCTCCTTCTTGAAGGGTGTCACCGCCGCCGTGGGCTTCACCTCCTCAGCCTGTTTCGGGTTTAGGGTTGGGGGTTTTCGGGGCTAAGGCAGCCGCAGCCTGTGTGTCACCGCCGCCGCCGCTAATAACCCAAGACTCCTAACCCCCAAACCCTAAACCCCTGAACCGATAGACCCCAGGGCTTGACCCCTCAACCCTAGACCCCTAAACCCCCTGAAACTCTGAACTATAAACACCTAAACCTCTAAACCCCGAAACCCTCTAAACCTCTGAACTCAAAACCCCTAATCCCCCTAAACCTCTAAACCCCTAAGCCCGAAAAAATGAGGTCCAGATCATAAAATCAATCGCCGGCCTTGTCCTCGGCCGGCAAGCCTCCAAGCACCAACGTCTCGGCACTGTCGGGGCGCCGAAGTTGGAAATCATCACCAGCTTCAAGACGACGCAACACCGCGTCTCGCAGGCTCATATTATCCATCGAGCCTGTAGTGTCACTTGAAACACAAGCTGTTTTAAATTAAAAGAACAAAACTCTACCCGGATCGATTGAGCAGGAGCAGGGATCGCAATGGCTCGCAAACGAGGTCACCAAGCAACTGCACTGAAGTCATTGATGCAAGCATGAATGAATGTCGCAGACAGGCATTCTACTCTCGAGTCCGTGTGCGAAAAGTCTCTCCTCGACTCGACCTGACTCTGCTGGCCAGGAATCGAATCTTCAAACATGGTACTGCTTGCTGCTGCACCGGCTGAGCTACGGAAAACTGGTCCAACACACTGCACTAAGTAGCATCATACGATAGTATTCCCTGTCTACTGCGACGCAACCCCCCTAAAGCGGAACCAATCATACGAAGTATTGCCTAGTAAGGAAAAAGCTCTGCGGAGTGGTGCTTTCTATGATTCCAGAAAACTGCAGCGTGACATTAAAATTAAAATGGTGTAGCCGGCCAGCTCACAACAACGGAAAGGGCAGTGCTTCGCAAGTGTGCACCACTGGCTTTGCTTACTATCGGAAATCGCTCATCATTCCGGCAGGCTTAAGGATGGTATCACAAACCTGTGGCACACATTACATCTACAGCCATCTGTCAGTCTCTAGATGGCCAGGGGGCAGCCCTTCCTCAATGAAATCGCACGGGTGGTCACCACGTATGGTTTTTGCACTTTACTGCATCCGTGAACGCGTTCGAACCGGAAGCGGAACACTGTCCTCACAATGCTCGAGTCCGCCACCGTCCTTATCAAGAGATTCGAAGCTCGGTTTTTTGGGCAGACCGAGGCTTAACGGTTTAGGGGTGAGGGCTGAACAAGAAAACCAACTATTGGGGGAGTACTGAGCACAAAGTGGGGTTCAGGAATTTGATCAGTGTCAGGCAACAGCCCCCAAAGTGCTGAGATACATACTAATTCAATGCAGGTGGCCGGAGGCTCTGCTCGCAATCCCCAAAAAACCCTTTGCATGTGACTGCCTTCGCCGGGTCCGGTACCGGTTTGTACTTGTGCAAGTCCTTGGGCTCAATTTTGAAGGTGTCCGAGTTGTCGGCTGTGATGCGCTCCACCGCGGAGTACGATAAGGTGTAAGTCGAAACTCGCTTCTGGCGCTCTAAGAGCACCAAGTACTTGTACAACGTCATCGTTTCAACACATGTGGAAGCGGCATTCGGATCGACGGAGGACATGTCGATCTGCACGGGTGTCTCGTCTCCTTGCGGCCACAGGACCGGAACCCCGTGGTCGGGCGCATCTTCGGGAACGTACCTGGAGGGACTGACTAGTTAGTCAGGTTGGGATGATGGCAAGTTAGCACGCAGATCTAATGAAAACTGACTAACGGCGCACACTACAGTCTACAAACCACAAATTAGTAAACAAAACCTATGAGGCTCTACTCCGGTCGAAACCCCTGGCCTCCCTGTTCCGTACCCTCCCACACATGTCCATTTGGCAATGACCTTGTCCTTGTCCGGCACGATGAAAGACTTGCCATTCTGGAGCCGCACGAGCTCCACGCCTTGGATCTCGGAAGCAACCCGAAAGTTGATGGCAGAGCTTTCTCCGTTGATCATCGCTTCCTCAGACTCATAGGTCTTGGAGGTCTCCGGAAGTGCAGCAGGCGGTGGCTCCGCTCGGTTGGGTTCACCCGCATCAGTCTCGTGAGTCTGCGGGTTCAACGTTCTGTTCGGGGTAAGGGTAGTGCCGCTGTTGTTGCTGATGATGTCCTTCAGCAGCAGCTGGTGGCTCTTCTCATGCTCAGCCACCAGCTTCTTGTACCTGACTGGGGGAGGGTTTGGACTGTTGGGGTTTGGGCTATAGGCATCTACACACAACAGTTATAATAACAAACAGGGTGTACGTCTGCGGGTTCAGGGTTTCAACTACGAAGTACTCAATTTTAATAATAGTAGCTCCGATTTTTGGAGGGGTGATACAAGGCCAGTTGCTCCTGACCCAGCTCGCCACCACAATTGCCCCACTTCCGCACATAGTCTGGGTGAACAACCATATTGACCCCTTCTCGAACAAGAACTTGCAGCGGCAGGCTGTCAGCGGATTTGAGAATCTCGGAGCCGGGGATCTGCTTCAACTCCTGAGTTTTCAAATCCCAAATCAAACTGTCATTGTTCTAACTGACAAACGACCAGAAAACCAAAAGCTTAAGTTAAGTGCTTTCAGAAGCTCCTCGTCAGTCAGCCGCACCGTCTCATTCTGGAATCGGGTCCCGCCATAGCTGATGCTGCCGTCAAAGAAGTTGTCCGTCAGCTCCCGGACCACTCTCATCTTGCCGTAGTTGTACTGCTGCATATCCAAGCTGTGGATGGACAGATAGAACAACTTCTGGTAGTTGAAGCTGCCGCCATCACCACCAAGCGGGCCTCGGACTCGCTGCTTCAACACCTCAGATCAGCTTCGTACCCGGCCCAAATAGTATAGTCAATCGTGATTCGCATTTGGAACTGACATGACATCTGACTCATGCTCGCAGTTTGTGTCAATCATGCTAACGTCAAGCAATCCTACTCGGGAGCGACCGTGGCCTCAGATCAGACTACATCACGGCGCAGCAAGGTCAAGGCAATCAGTCAGTTTGGATCATGCACGCAGTTTCCGTCAATCATTGTCATGCAATAATAATGATGCCGGTGGTCCCAGACTACTCACGGCGCAACGTAACAGTAACAGGGCCTTAAAACGGTGCAGGGACTCAATGCTCGGAATGCAAATGGAGCCTGAATACTGTCACAACTACATCCGCAACCAACTACACGACTGCCTTTTAGTTTAAAGTTTAGACACAGTTTAGAGCTAGAGGACCCAGAACGAACAGCGCCCCGTGAAGTAACAACTAGTAATATTATTGTAACAGTAGTAGATAGTACTACTAGCAGCGGCATCCACAGTCATTCACATGAAGACGTCATTCACAGATCGGGGCAACCAAGCGTTGTTTCAGAGATTTGTTGCAACTCACCGTTGCGGCAATCTTTCCCGCAGCGGCCTCCGTCGGGGACGCCGCCCAATCCTATTGAAAGTGGTAGTAACAGTAGTGGTAACAGCAGTAGTAGTAGCAAGTAGTAGTAGCAGTAGTAGTAGAAGAAGAAGAAATAGTAGTAGTAGTAGTAGTAGTAGTAGTAGTAGTAGTAGTAGTAGTAGTAGTAGTAGTAGTAGTAGCAGCAGTAGTAGTAGTAGTAGTAGTAGCAGCAACAGTAATCGTCGTCGTCGTGGTGGTAGTGGTAGAAGTAGTCGTAGTAGCAGCAGTTGTCTAATAATAGCAGTAATAATCTTGGCCACTTGACCTTTGGTGGCGGTGGTTGATATTCAGATTAATCAACTATTATTTCTTGCAGCCCACGACATATCACGCCACAAGAGAATCCGGATGGGTATTGACCGACACCAGCCAATCAGATTAATCAAGTATTTCTTGCAGCCCACGACACATCACGCCACAAAAGAATTCGGATGGGTATTGACCGTCGTATATGCTGTAGTGAAGTGCTTTTCGCGCGCGCAATTCCATTAATTATAGACGCGAAAAAGCTTGGAGGTTTGGGGCTGCCCTGAACCTGAAGTGTTCGTCCTACCAAGACCATCTGCCGTGCATCCCCGGGCCCATCTGAGTTAGAATCTCCGGGACAGAGCCGGGCTTTTCGCGCGCGCAATTCCATTAATTATAGACGCGAAAAAGCTTGGAGGTTTGGGGCTGCCCTGAACCTGAAGTGTTCGTCCTACCAAGACCATCTGCCGTGCATCCCCGGGCCCATCTGAGTTAGAATCTCCGGGACAGAGCCGGGCTTTTCGCGCGCGCAATTCCATTAATTATAGACGCGAAAAAGCTTGGAGGTTTGGGGCTGCCCTGAACCTGAAGTGTTCGTCCTACCAAGACCATCTGCCGTGCATCCCCGGGCCCATCTGCCGTGGTGTGTTATATTTTGTCCTAGTTCTTGGATTTCGGCTATTTTTTGTTTAGGATTTGCCTATCTTTTTAAGGCTGCGACAGTTGCTGCGAAGAAAAATGCATGACGTATGTCGGGGATTATTGCTATTTGCGTCGTGGTGATCTATTTCCTAGTTCTGGAATGTCGGCTATATTCTGTATGGGATACGCCTATCTTTTTGAGGCTGCGACTGCTGTTGTTAAAAAAAGTGCATGACGTATGTCGGGGATTAATGATGGTTTGTGTCGTGGTGTACTATGCTATGTCTATTTGGATTTCGGGCTTGGTTAAGAGGTTCTAAGCCTAGGACACAACAAGAGCCGGATCCCAACCGTTCAGTTGTTAATTTAATACTTCATCAAAGTGGGCTTGACATCTGCGTGGAAAGTATAGTGCTGCTGTTTACTGCTACCGTTGCACCCACTGCGGCTTACTGCTTGCCTACTCCACTCTAAACCCCAAACACTGACTTCTCACCTGAATGCCAAAACCCCTCCTCGTAAAGGTCGCAAGCCCTAGAAGCTCCAAACCCTGAGCCCGATTTGCAAAGGGGAAGGACCCTTAGCCTTTCAAACGGAAGCTCCGAGATACAAAGTTTCCACTCAAACCAAATCATTGCGAGCCAGCCGCAGCGTGCCCCATGTCCTCGACATATCCTGTCAAATTCACCAGCAATGCCTCAGCACAGCGGCGATGTTGACCGAAAGATTGGGCGGGTGCGGTTAGGCAGTCAGGTTGCTGGTCCAGGGTGTGGGTTGTAGCGGAAGAGGCTATCCAAAAGCATCTGGCAGCGGTGGCAGCCCTTTTGGGCTGCCAGCTGTTCCGGTGATGGGCGGACCCGCTCATTGACCTTGATGTCAGCATTTGGATCTGCAGATTCTGGCAGGAGCAATGCAGACGACCGGGGAAACACGGCGGTGGGTGCTCCGCGTTCACTTTCCATTGTTCCAACAGCTCTGCCGAAAAGGGCGAGCTCGCTTTGCCGCCAAGGGTTCTCATCTGTGGCGGTGCGGCTGAAAGTGAGCATGCCATGTCCAAACTTCCTGCCGGGATTGATTTTATGAGCTTACGGCTTAGGGTCTTACACGGTTTAGGGTTTACGGGTCTACGTAGGTTTAGGTATGAGAGGTTTAAGGTTTAAGAGCAACTTTAAATACATACGACTGCCTGTTGTTGGTCTTGGACTCCGCTCGCGCATTGTCCCGGGTGTACAAGTCAATGAACCTGGTGTCACAATTCTGCGCCAATCCGAACATCTCATCCAAAATCTTTCGTTCTTCATCCCACACTCCCCGCGCCGACGTTTCCCGAGCGTGGTCCGGAAACACAACCATCGAGCAGGCTAGCTGAGGAAGATCTTCATTGATCATGGCCAAGGCTGCACACAGGGTTTCCATGTTGCCCTTACCTTTGGCATGCGGGCAATTGAAATCCACATGGCCAATCAAGGCCACATCGCACGGGCTGCAGCCAGCCGCAGAAGCCTTGAATGAACAACAACTTCGGGTTCATCTCGGGGCTGGGGCCTCTTATCGTATATTACCAACTGGGTGCTCAGAACGGTATATGACTTTAAGGGCCGGGAGTGAAAACGGTTGTACAAAGTTTCGATAAAGGTTTTCTAATAGTGTTGGGGTGTGGCTTCTATTTTTTGCCTAGCGCATTTGCAGAAGCCAGAAACTGCTCCATAGTTATTATCTTCCTTGGGGTTCCCCCACACAGCAGTAGGATACTCTACCACAAAAGCTCGGCACTGGTCTGGCTATCGAGGCCTCTAAGAGTTCACGGGCTTCTATTCCCGCCCAGATCCCAAATTCCTTCCTGAATTCACGAAGAAGCTCAAACCTGTAAGAGGAGCCTCAGCATGATAGGTCAAAGGATTCAGAGGTTTGTGGTGTTTGGTGGTTTAGGGTTTGGGCTCAGGGGGATTTACCTATCTTTTTAAGGCTTGCGACTGTTGTTGTTAAGAAATATCAGTAATCCCCGACATACGTCATGCACTTTTCTTAACAACAACTCGCAGCCTTAAAAAGATAAGCAGATCCCAGACGGAACATAGCCGAAATCCCAGAACTAGGAAATAGAGTACACCACAACGCAAATATCAATAATCCCCGACATACGTCATGCACTTTTCTTAAACAACAACAGTCGCAGCCTTAAAAAGATAGGCAAATCCCACACAGAACATAGCCGAAATCCCAGAAATGGAAAATAATATTACACCACGACACAAAATATCAGTACTCCCCGACATACGTCATAGACTTTTCTTAACCACAACAGTCCCAGCCTTAAAAAGATAGGAAAATCCCATACAGAATATAGCCGACATCAGAGAAGCAGGTAATAGAATACACCACGACGCGAATATGAAAAAGAGACGACATAAGAAAAGTGCATGACGTTTTTCGGGGAGTAGTAATGTTTTATGTCGTGGTGTATCATCTTTCCTAGTTCTGGGTTTTCGGCGAACTTGCGTATGGGATTTGGTCTGACTTGGCTCATCTTTGTCCGGCTGCGACACAAACTTCCAATTCCCCAACCGAACCCCCTTGTTCGGCATTGGATGACACCAAAAGCTCAAATCAGTTCATCTTACATCATCCAAGAGACAACAGTCTCCTTCATCCGGGAAAGCTCGGCTTTGGCCAAGTCCATCTTGGAAACCCATTGCACTCGCAAGAAGCTTTCCTGCTACAGTATTCGGATCGCAATGAACTCCCAAACTTAGTGCAATTGTTCTGGAGCTGTTGCTAATTTTTTAAATAACCCCCCGGTTCAATCTGCCTGATAGCCTCGCAAAGCTTCCTCTGCTGCAGCCGCTTGGTTCCGCCGGTGCACGACAGTTTTGGCGTGCAGTCGAGCCTTCACCATTCTTGGTACCTCCGAAGCCTGTTTCAGAAGCATTTGGTCGCTGATCAAAGCGCTTCCGAAGAACTTGAACTCCGCGATTTGAACGTCGCGCCTTTGCTCCTCCACTTCCAAATGCCGCGCAGCCTGGCTTTCCAGTCGCTGCTTTTCTGCCGTTTCCTTTTCCGAACGCAGCATGCTCAGAGCAAGCTTGACAGGCTTCGTCTGCAGGACATTGTTCATGTCATCATCCTTGTGCGAGCTGGAAATGAAAGCCGCGCGCCAAGCATCTGCATCCTCATCTCCGAGCCGGATCTTCAAGTGCGGATAAAACTGAGAAAAGAGCACGCTCAAGTTGCGCACAAACAACAGCTCGTCACTTGATGCACGCAACTTCTTCTTGTCCTTGGCCGTCAAGCCCGCCGTAATCTTATCGAACTTGGCTTTCACCTTGGCAAAGAACACGTACTGGCCGTCCTCAGTCATCGGCAAAGAATAATCTGGCTTCATGAAGATCTCCTCTGGGAGAGGCTCCTCGGTTGTCGAAGCGTTGGCCAGCAGCAGGTCCGGGTTCTTGGACCCCATGAAGAAACTGTTGTTGCTGACGAAGCTCTCCGAGAAGGCCCCTGAAACGAAGGGCACGTCGTGAGTTGACTGCACGATCACCTGGAACGCTGCTGGCGAGCAGCGGCTGAGAAGGTTCCTCACCGCTTGGCGCTTGGATCCGTTGAGCTGGATGCTTCCGGATCCTGTGTCGGCGCTTTCGTACGCAAGCACCTGAGGGTGCGAGTTATAGCGGTCGAGGCACTCCTCAATTGTCCAGGACTCACCGAAGGTCTGGAAGATGGATGCCCAAGCCAGGCTGGACACTGGAAGAGCCTAAAGATGCTTTTGTCTGGTGTTGAAGGTCTTCAAACATCTGGCCTCAAACTTGCAAACTTCCTATGACTACATTCTAAAACAATACTCATCATCAAACAAGTCTCCTTGGCGTCGATGTTCTGCTTTATGATGCGGCCCAAAGCACCATCCATGGAAGAGTCTGGGTCCTCGTTGCTTTTGCACAACGTTTGAATCATCAAGAAAGAACTCATCCATGTTTGTACCTGCGGCTTCTTCAAGCACTCGGGGCAGGTCTTGTAGGTGAGGACCAGCGAGATAAAAACGGAAAAGGCAGCCAATGTCTTCTGTCCGCCATCGGCAAAGTTGAACACGTTCACGGCAACACCATGATCGTCCAGATCAGGAGGGAGGCCGCTGGGAAAGCGCATGACGACTTGCTCGCCCTGCACAGGGAATTATCATGTGTGTTAAATTCCTGGAACCGGTTGTTAACTGATGCAGCCTTCTGACAAAACCGGAAAATTGATCCACACAACAGGACCTCACCACAACCCCAAACCCGCGACAACCCTGGAGCTCGCCACAACCCCGGCTGAAGTCACGGACGGTTGTGGCGAGCCTTCGGGCCGAAGGCTCACCACAACGAATGTTGGACCGTTTTGGCCTGGCGAGGTGGGCTGCCTATCCTGGCACCGACCCAGGCAGCCACCTCACCAGGCCAAAACGGTCGAACATTCGTTGTGGTGAGCCTTCGGCCCGAAGGCTCGCCACAACGCTGCCCCTAGGTCGCGCTGGTTGTGGCGAGCTTTCGGCCTGCCGCGAAACATCGAAACTGAGTGCCTCCAGGCGACGATCTCCGAACACACGGGTCAGAAGCAGCAAGCACAAGCAAAGGCACACATTGCCAACGGAACAACATATCAAGCAAGTTCCTCCTAAACTACCATGCCGCACCCCGATTTTTTCGCAAAGCTGGCAACGAAAAGGGTTTAGAGGCGCTTTTTCTTGGTTGGCTCTAAATGTCACAACGGAATCCACCTAACATCTTCGTGCAACTCTGACAAACACAGCAACTGTCATGCTTTTGCAAGGCTTGCAAATCTTAATTTTCGGTACCTCTGGGATCGGCTTAGGAGTTAGCCAGTAACTAGTGCAAAAATTCATGCTGGCACGGTCACAGCAGGGGGAATAATAATAATTCGTTAATAATAATAGCAAGCTACATACACCCAGTGCCAGGCACTCGCAACTTAAGCCAACGTGGCCTGAAAACCGCAAACCCACACCGCCGAAAACCGTATCTATTATGCTATTGGAAGTACGACATACAGTGATACATATATATATATATATACAGTAACATATACATGTATACATGTATATATATATATATATATCAAGCTCTATACGCGGCGGATCATAAAGTTGAGTTGAAATCACCAAAAACAACGCACAAAGCTATTCCTAGGAACGGATTTGTTAACCGCATTCTTGTGGCGTGGGTGGGGGCGGTGGGTGGGTTGGGGGTGGTAACTGGATCTTGAATCGTAGCCACTTCGGAGGACTTGCTGCTGTTACAGCTACAAATCAGGTTCTAGACTGTAGGTCTAGGTCCACAACCCCACCCCACCCCTCACCCGCACCAACTGAATACATGCAACTGGATATGGCAGTTGCATATAAGAAACCTGCGTGCACTACGGCACAATCTTGCCGCGCACACACACACACACGCATGTATGTATGTATGTATGTATGTATTTATATATATATATATATATGGATCAAATAGAGATAGAGATTAGAGATGGAGATATAGACACAGGTACAGGTATCTATACAAATAAATATAGATATGGTTACAGATATAGGTATAGTTATAGAAAGAGGCATAAGTTTCAAACATAGATGTAGAGATATATTTACATATTATACGAAAGCTGCAAAAAGACAGAAATAAATTATGGACTGACCCTGCCTGTACATGGGAAACCCCAAACCCAAATCTAAAACTTTTCCTGGACTGACCCTGCCTGTACATGGGAAACCCCAAACCCAAATCTAAAACTTTCGGCGTGAAGACAAGCAAGTCTCAACTCGCAAAACCAGATAGAATCCTTGGCATAAAGCTTCAAACCCTCAAACCCTGAATCTCTAAGCTTGCAGTCGGGCCAACCTGAGGTTAGAAGTCATAGGACATAGGATATTCAATCTCAAACCCGGAAGACCCTCCGCTGACCGAAGTTTTGAAGCTTTAATGGTCTTTGGGGCGTCAGTTTTTTTGGCTTGATTCTTGAATCTGCGGTTTGACGGGCTGAAAGATTCAATTCACGCTTGCGGCTTCCGAGTTTTGGGGTATCCGTGAGATTGCACTGCTATCAAAAGAAACACACTTAGACTTCACTCGTCCAGACCGGCCTCGCGGAATCTGAAGCTGGCCATATTCTTGGCTATGCTGAAGACTTCGGACATGGCAACCAACCTCCAAAAGGAAGAGTCCTCGTAGCTCCAAGAAAGAACACTGGTCACGAAAGGATTGCCTGGTGCGGGCGGCCAAACCTAAGTCGTGAGGGCGAAGCTCTGGGCGAGCCGGCACTAAACGAGCAGTTGAAGCAAACAGACAACCGGCGAATCAACAAAGGCACTGAGGGTGTGCAGAACTCGGAGAGGAGATCATCCACAGAGTTGGCCTGAAGGAGCCCTGCATCGGACAACATCTCGGCGACTGCCTCCAAGAACCTGTCCTGGTCACTCCAGACACGCTGGGCTATGTCTTTGAAGGTCCCGCCGCCCAGAACAGGCCACGGAAACAGACCTCGGTCATCCACCGGCAGTGGGCCGCAGGCCTGCTCGTGGCGATAATCCTTCGGACGGTGCCGGAGGGAGTGAATTGCATCCAAGCATTCACCCACTGCCTTCTGCAGCGGACTGAGGTCTTCAAACGTCAAAGCAGTCTGGACGGCTTGGGATCCCGAGGCCTTCTCTTTCGCCGCGGCAGCCCCTGACGTTCTTTGTTTCTTCTTGGGAGGCATCGCAAGGTGCCTTTGGTATCCTGCTTGCCCCGCTCTGGCTGTCACTGTGCAACAATCTGCAGTATGCAAGCAAGTGCAGGAACAAGAGAAGCTGGCAAACTAGTAAAATGGTAGATTTCCAGCCTACGCACACTTCCAGCAAACCCTCATGGCTGCCCTTCAATGCAACAGATTGAGAGTGGCGGTAAGCTGTATTTTGCGCTTTCTCGAAAAACATGACCTGACGCTCTGGACGGGCCCCCTGCAGCACGACTCCTAAGCCTACCAGGATGCATCCTTTCTGCATGGCTTCTCGCTGAGAACATGAATCTGCAACCAAGACATGAATGGCCAATTCCTGAAGCTTCTCAACACTGAAGAATTCAGACTGAGAATGGCCAACGCAGCGGCACCCGGTCGGGAGACGGTCTCAGTGCAGAATGCTACAATACGGAAAATCTCAGTGCCAGCAAATCACTTCTTCAACTTCGCTGGCTTCCAGGAGGCCAACACGCATGCCAAGGATGACATACACATCGGCACCGTAAACCTTGACAGCAGGGCCGAAAGGGTTTAGGGATTAAGGGTCCAGGGTTGAGGAACTCTACGTGTTCAGAAGAACGAGCAATGGAGCTTACTGAGACTATGGCGAATTTCCAACCAAATCCGAGAGCTGGTTCTCCGAAAGCACACTCATCTTGTAGCGGGCTAAGTCAGCACGGCTCACACCCTGCATGGAAGCCTTCTCCTGCCACTGCACACACACTATCCGAGCTGAACACATAAGTACATCGGGCCGTTACTTATATACTCTCCATCGAGGTTCCTGTTAAGAATAAACCTATATTATGTTAGGATCCTATAGGTACCCGCCGACAGGAACCACAATAGAGACTAGAGGTCTAAGTACAATCATAAAACAGGTTCCTCAGCCGTGAGGATGCGCCAAGCGCCGGGGCCACAAACCACGTATTTGCCCCGAGGGATGAGGCAAGGGCAAATGCCCCGGCTTCGGTTCCAAAGATGCCGGTCGAAACTCTGGTCCTAGGTGGAGGAGCAGCAACAGACAGCAGCAGAAGCAGCAATGCACGAACGTGATGTGGCTTGGCCTGAACATGGATGTGGCCAAGCAACAACTTGGATGAAAAAGAAGCCTGGTGGATCTGGCGGATTCCAGACTTCATAGCCTGCATCTTCCATCTGAAGGATGGCAAGAACCATGACTGCGACCTCGCGCTCAACTAAGATCGATGGTAAACCGAGCTCGGTCAGCTTCTGCTGGCACTTGCGAACTCGGTCCTGACGATGAAGAGCTTGGTTCAGGCATGCATTTTTTGGAGACAGTTAGAATAAGGAAAGTCTTTGGAAACTCAATCAACCTGGCCATAATTCTTCTTGATCTCCTCGAAGGCAGCCACCCACTTGAGAGTTGCTCCCTGCTGTCCGCCCTTCCGCCTCGTTTCCCTCGGGCAAATGCCCTCGTGAACAAAAGCCTTCATAGGCAACAGATCCTGTTGCCACATTTTCATAAGGCGAGTCATGTCCTGGATGGTGAAGTTCCTGGCAACCGGCAACCGTACAAATTTTCAGCGTGCTGTGGCTTCAAACAAGAAAGAGTGACGCTGACATAATCATAACAATGAGTGTGCTGAAAATCACGCTACGATAATGTTTCCTTCTTCTTCTGCAACCCCAACAACAGCAGCAACAGCTGCGAAGGCCAGCAGCAACCATAACAAGAGCAACAACAACAACCCTTCCTCCTCCTCCTCCTCCTACTAGTACTACTTACTACTACTACAACTACGACTGCTACTACTGCTACTACTGCTACTACTGCTACTACTGCTACTACTGCTACTACTACTACTACTACTACTAGTACAACACTACTACTGCTACTACTACTACTTCGAGTACTACTACTACTGCTACATTTCCTTTTCATTTGCCCCCGGGTTGTCTCACCATCAACCCTCCCTGTAGAGGGCAAACGAAAAGAAAAACACCACTACCACTGCTACTACCACCACTACTAGGACGACTACTACTACTACTACTACTACTACTACTACTACTACTACTACTACTAGTACAACACTACTACTGCTACTACTACTACTTCGAGTACTACCACTACTGCTACATTTCCTTTTCATTTGCCCCCGGGTTGTCTCACCATCAACCCTCCCTGTAGAGGGCAAACGAAAAAAAACACCATTACCACTGCTACTACCACCACTACTAGGACTACTACTACTATTACTACTACCACTACTACTACTACTACTACTACTACTACTATTACTACACCTTCTTCTACTACTGCTGCTGCTGCTGCTGCTAGGAATAACACTACTACTGCTGCTATTCCTTCTGCTCCGGCTACTGCAAGAACCGCTACCACTACTTCTGGTGCTACTACTACTACTGCTACGATGACGACGACTACTACTTACTACTACTGTTACTATATAAAAACATAGACTAGCATAGAGTGTAATCGTGACTGATCGTGATATTTGATAACTCATAAAGATAAAAATGACAACTTCTGATGATAAAACACAAGTGATCGTGGCTACGATAGCACTGATCATTCATACTGGTGACAGCATAGACAACAAAGACACTCCTGATCACAGCGGCGACAATGCTTTTGACGCCAGGTTTAACGAGGACAACAATGACAATAAATGAAACCGGTGGGAATGCTCATAATAATGCTGAGGAGTGTCATTGTCAAGATAATCACACTTTTCGTTAACTATATATATATATATACATATATACATATATATATACTAACTACTAGCAGCAGAATGCCGAAAAGACAACTTTTCTCAGAAACTGCGTCATGTCACACTTTCAAAGCATCTTGTCGAACATACAGAAGCCAAGCTCGGGAGCGAGACTGCCGGAGACCGTAGTCCAATGCATTCAACACGAAATCGAAACTGATGAAGCCACGTTTCTTCAATTCTGCTGCCTGGATCTGTGAAGGTTGCTCTCCACCGAATTGGCCTCGGCTCTGGGTAAACCTTGCCACGTTCTCGAAGAGAACCCACTGTAAAGCAGGCTGCGAGTCAACCATCTTCATGAGGCTGCGGAAGCCTGCGCCCGAGGTGCTCTTGGCATCTCGAATGCTTTTTTGATCGCAGTTCTGCCCTGACACAGACTTGCACGGGTATCCGCAAATTGCGCCGTGCACTTCGCAAACGCTTTCGATCTCGCCAGACACAGAGTTGCGGGCTGACTTGCGCCACAAGTCCATCATGTTGTCGAAGATGGGGATCCCGGGGAATGCCACCTTGAGCATATCCACTTTCCAAGATGTTTGCTCGCACATCCAAGCTGTTTCCAACTGCAACAGGCTGTGGGAGCGAGTCACACACCCGCCGAACACTCTAAGTTTAAGTTTAACTAACCCTAAAACCCTGAATCCCGTAAGCCCCTTAACCCTAAAACTCCTAAACCCAACAACCCTGAAACTTTAAGCCATAAACCATGAAAATCCTGAAACCCTTAAATCTAAACCCTAAATCCTCTAAACCCTGCAACCCTTAAACTGTAAGCCATACACCATCAAAAGCCCTAAGCCACTCAACTCTAAACCCTAAAACTCCTAAACCCTTCAATCCCTAGACTTTTAACCAGGAACCATTAAACCCCTACACAACCCCTAACCCTACAGCCCTTAAAATCAGAATGCCTCAACATACAGAAGCCAAAGCCCCGAAACTGCAATTCCTGCCTGGACATGCGAATGCATCTGCTCAGACAGAACTTTGTTCAAGGACTGAACGCACATCTCAGCAACACCCCAACCGCTGCAAATGCTTGCAATCAGCAGCTTGTCATCCTCGAAGTCTTGCACGCTCTGTAGGACCATCCTGCCCAGGTCGCTGTCAATGAGGGCGTGCGCCCACTCATCAACCTGCTGCAGCAGCAAGCAAACTTAAACGTGACCAGCACCCCTAAGTATCTCTGAAAGAAGCCGGAAGGATGCTGTCAAGCAACGCCCACATGAGTCACAGGCTTAAGTCGATCTTTAACGAATAGAGGAGCGGATGCTGCCGAAGATGCTGCTGGCTCAACATCGGACTCTTGCAGAAGCGACCCTGAATCCGGAATTTCTGCTGACCTTAGGCCAAACGAAACGCACGCATTGCTATCGCAAGTCATGCTTCCAGCCCAAATCCCATGCAAGCCAAGAGGCTCGGCGTCGGGACCACCAAGAACGTCCTGCTCTTCGTCCGAACACAAGAGAAGACGATCATCCTCCTCTGACAACTTGGGCTTGTCATCTGCATCGGTCCTGCCGGGCGGCTCATATGCTAAGGAAACTGCCAACTTGCCTGCTTGCGACCAAATGAAGCAAATCTCTTATCTTTTCACGGCTGCGTTCTCTGCAAGGCAATCAAGGAGCTGCTAGTCACATTCAATAATATTCACAATGCAACGACAGAGAACCGAGCTCTTCATTTGTCGTCGAAGTCGACCGGCCCCATTTCCTGCTCTGAAGCAGAGTCGTCCTGCGAGAGCGCAAGAGAGAACGCTTGACCAAGAAGCTAGGGGACACAATGCATTAGGGCTGTTGAAGTTCAGGACCAATATATATACATAAATAAATACATATATAAATATAAATATATATATATATATAAGGTTTCAAGACTTATTCGCGCAACCCTAGGATCCTGTCCTGATCGTCCCGCTTGAGATTGATATGGCGGTCGCGGCCTGCGCCTGCCCAAATGACCCGCTCGGCAGCTGGAACATCACCACGCCGGACCTCCAGAAACGGATACCTGCAGGGCCTGGGTTTGCGAGCGAGCTCACCGCTACACCACTGCGTCAGGTATGCACACGCATCGGCGGAGATGTCTCCTTGTCTCATGCACTCGTGGCTGAGCCGGCATATGTTTTTCTGAACTTTGGGTGCAATGGGTCGACGATCCTCGACACCGCCGGGTTGTGCAAAAGACGCACGGAGCACACCACAAGTGGCTGCTGGCATCAAACAGACCACACGAAAGGGCTCTGGGTCCGACATCCATCGCTTCGCCAGAAGCAAAACATCTTTTCCGGAAGGTGCTGACCCAGAAATCTCTTCAACCCTGCACTGCCCAAAGGATGCGGGGCTCAAATCTTCGCGCAATGCAAACCTCAATTGGTGCACATGTCCTGAGATGGCACTCAATCAAGGCAAAAAACAAGAACTGAATCGGATGCATCGAACATAATATACGTCAAATCTGAGATCGGCGAACCACTGGCCAAGTCAAGAAGCTCAAACCTTTGATTCGTAAGCGTGCCATTGCGACCCACTGCCTCCACTGTGCGACTTCGTCCAATTTGATGCAGTGTACCTGCACGCGGCCACCATGGGAAGTGTGTCGCTTCCTCTCACGTTCACCGTCGTCAGACGAACGGAAGCTGCTATCCAGCAAATCCACTAGGCCACATGCGGAATCGAATGTGTGGCGGCTTATGAATGCTGCTTGCTGCGAGAAGACCTGATCCACATCTTCATGACCTTAAAGTAACACATACAACAAAAGATCAAATGAGAGAAATTGGCCCAACCACTTTTACTTAAACCCACAATATCCAAGTAACCCGTAAGTCGCACAGCTGATTCCGATCTATCTTGAAAACAAGTAGTCGTGAAGCACGAGGGACCGACCGCCGATCTGTTGGTTCATAATCAGACCAACATGACAAGCTTCAGAGAATCACTGCCAAGAGTCTATGTCCGGTTCTGAGAAAATTTGCCAGACTCCACCTTACAACGCCTAGCCCCACCAAAAGGCACAAGTAGTTCATGACGAACCGGTTTTTCCCCTCCCGGTATGTATTATCTTGCTGCAGGCACAGTCCCATTGGCATATTGTCTGCAATAGAATTCAAGGTTCGCGACAGCATTTCCAGCTGAGCAGAGCCATCCTTCTTGGTATCTTCGTCAGCTACGTAGATGTAGATTGCACGGCCATGTAGCCAAGAAGCTGCAACGTGCAAAGTCGGCCGAAACAGTCTCTGGAAAAGCTTGCTTGGCGCCATCCTTGTTCTCGGAACCTTGAATTTTGACTGGTCCATGCCGTCTTGGATCACAGTCACCGCAGCTGTAGCCACAGAGGAAATCAGAGCTCGGTGCCCAAATTCGATGGATTGCTTAAACCAAGCCTGGCTCAGCGATCTCATGGACCAATAGACTTGCCTGTCGAGCCATTGATTCAGCAAATGCCGGGTGTACGCCCGCTGCGCAGTCTCACACTCGGTGCTGTGAACACCAAACTGCCGCACTGTTTTTCTGATGTTTGTCTTCAGGCCAGTACAAACATCACAAGCTCCATGCTCGTTTTGCTTTCTGAACTTCAGCACACCATCTTTCTCACCAAGTCGAAGCACTTTGTTCGCTACACGAAGGAATGTGTTGAAGGAAGCAGCAGCCCCTTCCTCCCTCCCGGCTGCCCACGCGCGGTAACTCCAGAAAAGCTCTGTTCGACTGCCATGAGGCAAAACCTTCCGAGCTCCTTTAAATGAGCCAGGTCCGATCATGTGCTCTTCCACGTCTGCATAATGTTTGTGAAGACTTTTCATGAACGACTCGACGGCGCGCAAAGACTGGTCGTCATCGACCGGATCCGGAAAAGCTTCCTCCGACAACTTATTCGAACCACATCCTGCCCGAAAGTGCGTTGGCAAATACTCTGCCTCCGAATGGTAGACCAGCCAAAGGAACATCAAAACCCCAGCCCACTTGACATTGGGTCTATGGGACATTGAGACCTCCAGGAGAGGGTGCTTGTCCGCTTTGGGCAGCCTTTGCTTCTGAGTTCCTGTCGGCAAACCTTGACGGAGATTCTGCAAGGTTGACTGCCCCACACCCAAAAGCATGCTCAGCGCTCGCCTGCAGACTGGCTTCCCCAAAAAACTAGCCTCGTCGGATGCTCGCTTTCTATATGGTCTGGATGCTGCGGCAGGCACCGGTAACCGTACTTCGTTTTCTGGAGACTCATCTGAAGCAAAAAAACAATCATCATCAGAAGCTTGCATCAACTGAGCCTCATCATCAGAGTCGGATGCATGGAAGTCAACGTTTCCCCGTACAGGGCCAGCATGAATGGCCACCGCGCCTTGATCACAGTTGAAAAGGTTAGCGATCATGTTTACCTGGGCGGCAGGGAGACGAAATGAAAGTAAGTTCATTTTTATCTGAGATACACCGGATTTGTTCTTTGAGTTCACTGCCTAGTTCAGGGTAGCAAATTTCAACACGATGATAATGACATACATAATGACATAATAGTTACGACTTTCTAAGAACAGCGCAAACGGTTCTCGCCCTGAAACGTCATTGAGTTAAGCTACTCTGCGAGAGTTCTCCATTTTGGAAAACTCTTCCCTCTTTGCACGCACGGAATCAGCCTCCCCCAAGAACTGCTGGAAACATGACCCGCGCTTGCATCGGCATGGGTTGCCCAGGAAATTCATGTCGAGCTTCCGCTTTTGTGGCCGGGGACCGGCACTGGAAGCTGAAGGCACACATTCATCGTCCGACGCATAGAGCATCACTACTCACTGGAAAGGCTTTTAACCGCAGGTTTCGAGTCCCAGGCACCTGCTAAGGGTTTAGGGTTTAGTCCATTTTTGGGGAAGGGCTTGGGTTTAGGGTTTGGGGTTTAAGCTATTTTTGGGGAAGGGCTTGGGTTTAGGGTTTGGGGTTTAGGCTATTTTGGGGGAAGGGCTTGGGTTTAGGGCTTGGGGTGTTTAGGCGTTCAAGGAGCTCTGGATCGAAGGTTCTCATAGCCTTACTATTAAACTGCTTTCAAACAGCGATCTTGATCAAGGCCGGGCCGGTAGAATCGGCTCCCTAAGCTGTTTGGGCGGAAGCCACCAGCTTCTTTTCCGAAGCACTACATAAGGATTTGTGGCCGAGGGTTGACGTGTCTTCGGGACGTTTAATTGGAACTGGCAACAGCAGTTGTGTAGCAAACCACGGGCCCTCAAGATATCCCGTTCCCCCGAACCATGGTGATGTCAAAACCTTGGACGACGCCGACCTCTCATCCCCAATCTTCCTCAATCAAAGAAGTCTCGGTTTAGGGTTTAGGGTTTACCTGTAGCCGGAAAGACCTACCTTTCTAGGGTTCCTTATTATGGTTTTTATATATGGTTCCTTAAGAAGGTAGGTCGTTCTGGCTACAGGTAGGGTTTAGGGTTTAGGTTCTGTGAGTTCCAAGCCCCTCACCTCAATCAAGAAAATTTCTTTGTGATGTGAATGGTCTGGACTTGAGGATATCCCACCCCCGACCTTCCACATGATCGAAATCAAGAGTGGCAGCAACCGCTTAACCCGCATAGCACCGACTGCAAACCTGAGCTTCAACTGAAACTGTAGCCAGATTTAAATTTAGTTCAAGTCTATGAACCCATATTGCCCCAGCCCAGCCCCAGCAACAAACTGTCCTGGTCAAGATTGTCGCAGGCTTTTTGGAAGCCGTACGAGAGGCCGGCTTCTTCATGGTGGCTGCTGGCCGCTTCATGTTTCGAAGTGAAATCTCGGAGTTACAGAACTTTGACTCCGACGGTGGCTACTACGAACACCTTCCATGAGTACGACCGGTGTACTTATTTCAATGGAATTACTTCAACGGAATTGGATATCCTGAACCTGTCGAAGCAGCTCTGAATTGCGGCCTACACGTCCCTGATTCCCAAAGGCAAGATATGAGCACTTGACAGACATCAGGCTACGAACAAACCTGTGGTCCAGTAACAAGAGAACGAAGCAACCGCAGCAAGTGACCAGAAGGTATGTTACACGTTACAAGACAGAACATGAACTAAGTGAGCATCCGTCCGTTCAGCTGTCCCTGTCCACACTAATGGCACCTCTGGCAGGATCTCGCAGTGGACACGACAGGTCTTAATTTTTTTTATATTTTTAGTTGATTGCGAAGAGGACGACCAAAGTCTAAAGGGCCACTGACACTGGTTCTACTCCGGCGAAAATTTAATTCCAATTGCCAAACGACGACCCCGTCAGCAGAACCCTGCACTGCAAAAAATCCAACCGCTCGACGGCTTTCGGGAGATCTGCCATGCGTATAGGGTTTTGTGTGGCATATGGCAACGGGTTTGCGCAGCCTGTGTGTCACATGTCCTACTCAGACATCAGACTAAGAATACTAACTATTCTATAATCATTAAGTATATATTTTGAACTGCATTTACAAAATCCCTTTTTTGTCCACCTGCACACTGACTTCACAGAACATTATATACATTCATTGAAGTCAGTCAGTGTTTGAGCCGAACAATATGTAAAGTGTTTCGAGCCGAATTTTATCTCACATCCTAAATCTACAGAGTCAGAGGTCAGGCGCTATACACAACACCAGACGGAAGGCCGCGGGTGATGGGAAGGGAGGTGGAGGGCGGGCGGAAAGAAGAACCATGCACCTAATCAATTACAACGGACCGGGACAACGTGCACCTTTGGCGCCAGCAACCTTTAAACTCCATGCGCACAAATCGAGCCACACAACATGAACAAACACCTGACAGAACGCTGAAGCCACCGAGTGATTGAAACCACCAAGTTCCGCGGGAGTGGATTAGAATCAATGTCCGAATCAGATGATTCCTGCTGTGCTTCGGGCTGAGGATGAACCTGCGCTTGCTCCTGAGCCGGGGTACGCAGTGAAGATGCCGATGAGCCCGCCTCCACCGGAAAGCGATGATGAGCAGGAGACGAAGAGTAGGACAAGACCTTCGGTTCAATGGCTTGTTGCTCCGCTGGTTGCTGACCGCCGCGAGCCTGCGGGTTCAGAGGCAGCCAATTGCTACGGATCCGATCCCAAAAGAGCTGTTGAAGGGAAAGTGCTCCATGTACATCATCCCTGCTATAAAGAAGAACGCAGCCATTCTGCCCGGTTCTGTGATGACCTTGAAGGCCTCTTTTGCGAAAAGACACTTCCAGTTGTGCCAACGCCGCCAATAGACAAGTCTTCAGGGAATGTAGAGTGTATGAGGCGGCCTCCGTGGAACTCATGCCAGCCAACACCAAAATCCCCCTGAATGCTGATAAAGCCTGCGCGTAGCTCATGGGTTGCCATTCTGTTGAGCTGGAGATGAAGAATAAAGCGTCCGGCACTGTCTCCCCAAAGCGCGAAACAATTGAATCCCATTCGGAACCCAACAGAAAAAGGTATTTGCACACCCAACTGTGATAGTAGGAACCTGAATCGCCGTAGTAGCCACAAGAAACGAAGCCGAATGGCATCCCCCGCCGGGAGGATTTTGTTCGATATGAAATGGCCCTCACATTGTCTTGGGCAGCTTGAATCGATGTCCATAAAATGTGTTGCGCATCGGAGAAGCGAAGGCTGGCCGATGCCGAAATGAGAATTGCGCCCAAAAATAATCTGAACCCCACTGAACCCGACTCCAGTAGAAGGGCACGCTCACAGTAAGCCAAAACATAAATCGGAAGCGGAAGAGCCTCCTTTCTGTCGGAAGTAATGCGAGCCTCCACTCCAACTAGGAGACCTCCATAGAGATCTGGCAGGGCAAGCCCAAACGTCTTGGCGGCCCAGCGAACCGCCTTCAAACCGTTGGTGACATGTGAGCCTGACTTGTGCATAGACAGAAGAGCATCGACCACCTCAAGCTGTCGAATGGACTCCCAGCTCACGTTTAAATCCTGTAATGTTCCCACGAACTTCAGCAGATGAGCCAAATATCGAACCAAAGTGTTTTCCGAAACCGACTTCAGCAGATTCTGCAACAGGGTGGAAGCGTGACGAGACTCCCCGAGCTCCTGCAACACTGAAGAAATCGTCTGTAACCATGGTTGAATCAGTGCCCACAACTTCAAGCATCTCTGCCAGACTTCAGCGTGCAACATCGCAGATGATTTGAAGCCCTCGGTACCCCGAGGGCGAACCCCACCAACCGAATGGAACTGTGCGTTGAGGGGCCTGCGAGTCGAACCAGCCGGAACCATCCCAGCTGAGTCCACGACAGGTCCAATCGGAGCCTGATGCCTGACTGGTGCATGCCTGAAATAATCTGCAGCTCGGCGAGGGGCAGGAATAGGAGCAGGATCCTCCCTAAAGTAGGGTGCTGAACGTCGAGGTCTAACTGCCGGCTGAGACAGAGGGTTTGGCTCAATCCAGTTGCCCCGTGGGCGTCGAGCAGCTTCTGACAAGCGAACAGGATGATCAGCCCCCGAATGCGCGGGACGAGCCACAGTCTGCAATGGCATAAATGAATCGAAAGCCCCAATCACACCTTCGGACGATGACTCCATTGAACTTCAACCCACAGACCAGCTAGCAAAGGGCGCCCCGCTCCACGAAGCGAGGCAGATCACCTGGCCAGCAGGAGAGGCAGAGACATGTGAAGCGGCAAAATACCAAAGTGCAGTTCCGCATTCCGCTGACCAAAGTGAAAAGGCAGCTGAAGCAATCACCAACATTTGTGCCAGAGCTAACGGGGGCCTGGTACACAGCATGAGGGGAAACCCCCCCCTACGAAGCCGGCCGCAATCCTAAAGCTGACATGCCTATATGCGCTGTTGGAGTTGCTCAAACTAGCATGCTGCATGCAACACCTGTCGCCTGAAGCATAGGTCTAAGCCACCATGTGCACATGATTGCCGCGCTCTGGTGCATTTGAGCCCGCCGATCGCAAAGAAGGAGTTTTCTCACCCCTCACGCAACAAGGGGCAATCAAGCTCGATTGGCACGCATGAGCAAAAGCTCTCCCGCTGTGCTCCGCTGAGAAATCCCACAGAAGCTTCTGTGATCGCCGCCAATTTTTACCCCTCGAGGCATCAAAGTGCTGTCGCCATGATGCTTGGAGCACCACTAACGCAAAGGTCGCAAGGA